CTTTTATAGTCTCTTATTTACTCTTGATGGGTGTGTGACGAGCTCTCGACTCCCTGTGTTCATTCTTCCTCTTGCTGATTTCTTTTTAGTTTTATTATTTCTCTCTAAATCACGTGGATTTGCCGGTTGTTAGCGGCCGGTAATTCAGTTGTGTTTGTACAAGCCCAGGGTCCATACACCCATGATAGTCTTGGCGATAACAATTTTGATTTTGTAGCTAGCTCGATACATCTTAAGAACAACTAGAGATTGTCCACATGGTGTGATGTGGTGTCGTAGAGCACCAGGCTGTCGTGTTCGTACTGAAGATGTGAGATTGACCTACCTCTTCTCGAGCTTTTGAAGCCCTGAATGAGATTATGGCTGTAGATGTTCGAGATGGACTTGCTGAATAGCTTGGAAACAATAGTAAGCAAGAAGGGGCATATGGTGTAGAGATACAGCCTGGTATAAAAAATGTCCTTATCTACATGATCTTAAGCATAGATGTTGGAACCTTGGGGCTCACGGTCCCACCTTATGAACTTGATCCCGTAGTTCCTCCATGGGATCTTAAAGGGAGCTGGGTTTTAGAGAAATAGGGATCTCACTCCCTATAAAATGGGATCTTGGTCTTCATGCTTGTAGAATCCCTCCAAGGAGAGGAGCTATACTATTAATTGAACTACTGGTCCTCTCCTTGGTATTATATATCTATGTCTTTAGAAATGTTAAACTGTGGTTCAAATCACATCTTGGGTATAGTAGGATTATGGTTTTAAAAACCTATATTTTACTATCATAGTAAACCAATTTATGATATTATTAAATTGTGTTATTGTAGTAAATTAGAGTACTATAACTATGGCTGTGGTAATAATCTAAGGTGTATGATAATGGATCGAGCTGGCATTGGCTCTATCCTAATTTTATCATATACTATCAATTAGTCTCGTTTTATATATAATGGAACCCAGAATCTCCAAGTCAAGACCTTGATCCCATTGACATGAGATCTCGCTCCCGGGTATCCTAGGATGATCCTAGTTCCTAACTAAATGAATGTACAGATGCCGATCCTAACCCTAGGGAGCTTCCACTCTATGGAAGTTCAGCGTTCCTCTAACCAATCCTTCTCCTGCCTCCAACAACTATGAACTTAAGCCTTCTCTCAATCCAATTTGAGAACAAGGCCAGGGACATTCGAGATGGTCCTAGTATGCATACACTCATTGGCCATGTCCATCTAATATTTTACAGTATTTGACAAAGCCACCTTGGTTTGGAGAAATGACACTGCTTCAGACCTGCATAAGTCAGGTAGCTAGCTCTTCTTGTTTCAGGATGTTATTGACTATCCCCCTCCTTGTGCCGCTGGACTCTTGGTACGAGAACACTTTTCCTTGTTTCAGGACCTTATTGAACTCAGCCTTGCCATTACTCTCCTGTTCGTCCCATCAGCTTTCAGGTCCATTGACTCGTCGAGTGAATTTAAGCCCTCAATGTCCCGCGGAACATTGTTCTTCTCACAGAGATGACCAAAATGATGGTATCTGAAGTCAGCGATTTACTTTTTAAAGTTAGACAGAGAAAAGGTCATAACTGAAAACCACAAAATGCTTTCCATTTTGAACAGTCTCTTGCAACTTCTGGTAACATCTTGGAATAATTTCGCAGAGATTTTACTTCAATCAAACTTGACTCCTACATTGTTGGCTCGTCATGGACATGTTACTAATGCTGCCTGGATATTTATCTTGTGTTTGTGTATTTCTATGGAGTGAAACTTTGTATGGTGAATCAGCATGAGATAGTTTTATATAACATAGTTATACTTAATGTTTTTTTCTGGGAAACATTTGATATTTTTAATGTATTTACATCTTTATTACTTGTTTGTCTATGCTCTGCTGTTCCCCATTTTGTGGATTAAGCTTTTGATTTGTTCAATTGTTTCTTTGATTCTTGTTTGTTCCTAAATGGGGCATAGAGGTCAGCACTGCATCCATAAGTTTAATGTTATTGTGGCTGGAATCCACACCCAGTTTGTCTGAAATCTGACTGAAAGCCAGGCTTCTTTGGTTAGTTTTCTTTTTCTAAATAATGATGCTCTTCTACTTCACTTCAGCCTGCCATTTTTTTAACTAAAAAATACAATATCTGGTAGATATTGTAGATGGTTTCAGCCTTTCAGGTAAGACCCGATTGAAATTCTAAGACCTGGACACTTGTCAAATGTAATCTTTTCTTAATAGAAAGATTTATCTTAAAAATAAAAGTATAAACTCCATTAAAATATAATCTTTCTATAAAAGAAAATGTTCTATTTGATGTTGCTACGATTTTCCTTCATTGCACAACTGGTCTTGAACTCGTTTCTCTGCTCATGGTGCAGCATGGTCGGATGCCCATTTGGTGAGGGATGCCACTTCTCTCACTATGTGCCTGGAGGCATCCATGCCGTATCCCAAGTGCAAGGTTTAGCATCTGCCACTAGAAGGCCAAACTCCATCACCAGCACTGCTACCCCTACTTCCGCCTCTCTTGTCAAAACCCGACTGTGCAACAAATACAACACCCCTGAGGGCTGCACCTTTGGTGAAAAGTGTCACTTTGCACATGGCGAGAAAGAACTCGGAATGTCACTCTCCTCCGACCGTACACGCGATCCGGCAATGGCTGTCGGTGGGCCCACTCGTGCAGTTCCCACAAGCTTTGGGGCATCAGCCACTGCTAAAATAAGTGTTGAGGCTTCATTGGCAGGGGCTATCATAGGGAAGGGCGGGGCCCACTCGAAGCACATATGCAGGGTCACTGGTGCTAAGCTCTCAATAAAAGACCACGAGACTGATAAGAACTTGAAGAACATTGAGTTGGAGGGGACCTTTGATCAAATCAATCAGGCAAGCGCAATGGTGAGGGAGATCATCATGCAAAACTCGGTGGGCAATGTGGCAACAAGGCCAGGCTTGGGGCCTGCTGTGGCTGCAGGGTCGGGGAAGGTGTCAAATTACAAGACAAAGATGTGTGAGAACTTCCCAAAGGGCTTGTGCACATATGGTGAGAAGTGCAGCTTTGCTCATGGCGCAGCGGAGCTGCGCGCCTAGTTTGTTGGTGATGACATGTGTTCTCTATCTCTCACACTATCCTTTCATTGCAGGTAAGATCTTGGTTTCTATCTTGTTTGTCTGGTTTTGTTTCATCTGTGTACCTAGTTGTATGCATATTCTTTCTCCAATTTTTGGCCCAGGCGAAAGCTGATGTTTATTTTCAAATGCTTGATTAGAGATTGATCTGATTTTTTGAGTGGCAGGGGGTTTTCCCCCTTTCTATATCTATTTGATTTTTAATTTAGGTACCTAGTTGGCCTAGTTGCATTCTTGGGCGTTATCTATTTTTATCACATGCTAGAATTTGGTTTATATTTCTTTTTTTGGCCAACCACGCTCCTAGTTTTTATTCATGGGTTGGAAATTTCTTTAGGTGGTCTGGGACTTTCCTCGTTTTCCTCATTTCATGTAAGATTTTCAGACATACCTGCATTTGTTCTGTGTTTTGTTAGTTTAAATCTCAGTTTTGTTATTATGAGTCTTTTTTCCTTGTTTCCTTTTTTGTCAGCCTTTTTCTTAGGTGATTTGGGATTTCCCTGTCTGGATATGTATATATGCACTGCAGCTTCCTCGAAGCTACAGATAGTTTTAATTTTGCATCCTCAAAGCTACATATAGTTTTAATTTTGCATGACCTTCCCATTTCCCTTCTGGAAATATTTATTTCCACTATGTGCTACTAGTTCTTGGCTTGGTGTGGTCTTTACTAAGTTACCGATTCCACTGCTATTTTCCTGATTTCATTTCGATTTTTGACCTTATTGGACTTACTTAGTATTAAACGAGCTGGACTATGCGTTCATAGAACACTGACTTCTTTGACAGTACTAGCTTGTGCTTTCGTTTTAGCTGGCGGACCGATTTTTCCCTTTCCTGAACTGTATTTCCTTGAAAATGCAGGGGCTACTGTAGATGGGGACTGGACGAGTGAATGAGGTAATTGAGGTCCTCAATTTTGATTTAGGCAGGACAGTTTTCTATTAATCACATTAAGGAAGAGTTTATTTTAAGACTGGTGTGACTCTCGATCCTGACCATGGCAATTACATCTTTGACTTATACACGAACAATTACCATACTGGAAAGCAACTATCAAATTAATTGGGTATTTGCCATCTTATGAGAATGTATTAGTATTAATATATTTGGTGTGCTCATTCATGGGTTTTTCTCTTACGGATTGCAGCTGTTTATTTTGAAGTAAAATAAGTGCAACCTATTATATATTTAGCTTCGAAAACCCATGGCCTTTAGTCGTTGATTTTATTGGATTAACAATGTTGTTTTCAGCTGTAAGATTGTAGTATGCAAAAGTATGCAATTAATGGGAATTTATGATTAAACCTTCTTTTTTTTTTTGGGTGAAAAAATTGCATGCTCTCTTCGAATATCGTGGGCCTGTGTGCGTGTGTGAGAGAGAAATTGCCTGGTTGTTTCCAGCATTTGGAAATCTCATTGGCCCTCTGATGAAGTGATCCCGATAGACTGAATCGCAATCCAACACAAAATTGAAAATATTGTTGAACAAAATCAAGGAAAGAAAGAAAAGGTTATACAGAACTTGAAATGTTTCCTTGATGGTTTAAACTTCAAACCATCATACAATACAAAGGAAACATGGATTATTTGATACGTCAGTGCGATTCGGGCCAATACCAATTCAGGAGGGAATTGGCCTGATCAGCTTTCCTTCCTTTTTTACGGATTGGTTATATTTGAAACTTTGGTCTAAACAATGAAGAATGGATGCATAATTAAAAGAAATCTTTCTAAAAAAAATATGAAGAAATGATGCATATATGGCGTTAGCTGGGGTGAAACTCGTGTTGACATGAACATTTGCAAAATGTCTTTGATTTACCATTTGAATATATTCAAGGGAAAAGAAAAGAAACCATTCAAAATACAAATAATTCCTTGATAATTGAACAATTTACTCTTTTCAAATATTTCATATCGCGTCGTGTTTTTCTATGGTTAGTTTAACTAAAAAATTTGGGTTCTGTGGTTAGTTTAATTAAAAAAAAATTTGGTAAAACTTTTAAAACGGTCGATATCTTATGTGGGTTTTGATAAATTTTTAAAAATGGTTCATTTTATAGGTATCACAAAAAAAAAAAGAAAAAAAAAGAAAAGAAGAGATTTTGAGGTCCCAAGATCTGAATCAAGCAGGCCTTCAAATGGAAGGCAGGCCTTCAAATGGAAGGTCTAGCGGCTAGAGTCAGTTCTGGTGTGCGCATTCATTTAGAGCATATGCAGTTCTCCAAATCTTACGGTCATTTCTGGAGTTATTGGTGCTAAATAAAAGATAATCACAAAGTTTTTGGGACAATCAAATCTCTAAACCCGTAGATCTCCCGTTGGAGTACGCCTACAGTTTGCTATGTGGGCGCCACTAAACTCTTTTCATTGAATAGAGTTCACAAATGTTACTATTGTAAGTGACTCGCATGAACTAAATAAGAGAAACACATTACTTTCCCCTTATTTACGTACTATTCTAACTCAAAATTATGTTTATTTTGATGGGCATCTTGAAATTAAATCAAAACAGAAAAACAAAATGCTTAATTGTTGATATCTTTAAGTGCCTTCTCACAAATTTCCTATTTCAAGGGATTTTGTTCTTTTTTCAAATAGCCCATTTCTTTTCATCGAATTTTAAAGTTCCAATGGGGTATGGGTCCGGACTAGACCTGGACCTGACTCCAAAAAAAAAAAAAAAAAATATTAAGTTAAATATATCCATGTATTATTTATATATTATAATAAAAATATACAATTGTTTTTAATTAAATATTATTAAACTATTATATATGAAATATTATTTAAATAATAACATTAGACCCAAACCCGACTCGTTGGGTCTAATTTTTGGACCCATAGCTGGACCCGGGACATGTCCGGTTGTCTGGTTTGGGTGCATTGCCACCCCTACTTCTAAGTGGTTTTGATAAGTTCTTTTGATCCGCTAAGTGAGAGAGAGGAGAGTAGAGCAATGTTCAAAAAAAAGAAAAAAAAAATAAAGAAAAAAAAAGAAAGAAAAACAGAAAAGAAAAGAGAGAGAGAGAGAGAGAGTAGAGCAAGATGGAAAGCAAAGGAGTAGCTACCCTAGTTCTACGAAATTTAGGAAGGGTATATATGCGAATTAACTAAATGGAATATAAAAATGGAATATCAGAAAAAATAAAGTAAAGGGATATTTTGCAGGGTATTAGGATATGGAGATATGATGAGACTTTGAACGTGAGCCAATCATCCTGTCTATCATCCACGTAAAATAGCAGACGAATTACAAAACAACTCCCACATCAGAGAGCAAAGCAGAAGCAATGGCGCTGAGATTGTGGGCGTCTTCAACTGCCAATGCACTAAGAATTTCCTGTGGCACCAACTCCACTGCCTTTTATCTCTCTAGAAGTTTCTCATCTGGTACTCTCTCTCTCTCTCTCTCTCTGCCTTCTCTCTCTCTCTCTCTCTCTGGCCTTTCCTTTTGAATTTTGATTGAGCGAATTCATAGAGTTCGGTTTATTCCCTCTCTCTCTCTAGGGGACTCTGAACTTGGATATTGTGCACATGGGAAGGTTCATGCGAAGTGCTTGTTTTAATTTTCTCCATTTTAAAAAACTATTCTACTATATTTATGATATTATATTTCTCATCGTTTCAATTGGTTGTTGCTATTTAGACTTATCATAGTACTTACCTTTTCTTCATATATATTTTTTTCCTTTTGCAATTTTCTTCCCCCCCTTGATTGCTAATTTGCAATTAATTTTGCATTTATAGTTAGATTGGTTTATTTTATAACGCTCTTGCATTAGTAATGAAATTGAAAGTAAATTAGTCATTAAATCTTTTCTCTGTTACTAGACATGATTTAAGTGCTTGATCCAATTTCAAGCAAATGAACTTTTGAGATTTGTAAATGTAATTGCACTGGTTTACCATTTTTGCATCATAGCTCAGATTTAGTTCTTTCCTGCTTAAATGGCCCTGCTTCTGTTATCTCATTTCTTCCTCAATTACTTTCCTATGAAGCATGAATGGTTTTTCTCACTGGTATTTTCCTGCATTATTCAGAAGTTATTTCAGCACAATATGTAAAAATTTGTGCTTGTTGTGCTTCTTTGATTCATATTTTTTAGGTCATTTTTGGTGATGTAATATAGTTTGTTTTATATTGTTGTTCTTTTCTCTTAATGTTTCTACAGTTTTAGATGGGTTGAAATACTCTGAATCACATGAGTGGGTAAAGCATGAAGGACCGGTTGCTACAATCGGCATAACTGATCATGCTCAGGTTTTGTTTCTCTTTATTTGTTCCTAATCTCAATGTGTCAGAGAGATAAAGAGAGTTTATTGACTCCTAATTTCAAATATGAGAGAGAGAGAGAGAGAGAGAGAGAGAGAGAGAGAGAGAGAGAGAGAGAGAGAGAGAGAGAGAGTAGTAGTAGTAGTAGTAGTAGTAGTTAGTTACGTTAGTTAGTTAGTTACGTTAGTTAGTTACGTTAGTACGTACGTACGTACGTTACGTAGGTACGGTTAGTTACGGTTACGGTTACGGTTACGGTTACG